TCGTCATTACAGTGGTTGACAAACCTGAATTTCACTGAAAAGCTGGATCACTCCATGTGGAAAAACATATTAGACACAAATACCGTATTTTCCACACTAAAAGGCGCACCTAAAAGCCTTCCATTTTCTTAAAAGCTCACAGCGCGCATTAAAATCCGATGCACCTTGTGTATGTTTTTTTTTTACCCTAAGTCTTGAAAAAAATTGGAAAAAAATAAGTATCAGGGCGTTGAACGTGTGGAGTGTGAAAAGACATAAATATGTCTTTGGGAGTGAATGAGTTTTACTGACATTTGATCGTTCTGTAGCAATGCCACTCAACAGCTAAGCTATCTTAGCTGTTGTCTTTGTTCAAAGCTTCTTTGATCTGTGACATAGGTTTCATGGCGCTGATTGGTTGAACCACGTGCGGACGTGCTCGCAAAGCAGAGAGCAGTGGACATGGACTGCTGAGGCACGCTTCAGTCGAGTGGTGGCATTTCCTTGATCGTAGCTCCATCTAGTGGATGCATTGTAGATTGAGTCTTATCATGCGGTGCGTCCAATATATGAAAAACATTACAAAATAGGCTATTCATTGAAGGTGCACCTCATAATCCAGTGCGCCTTTTAGTGCGGAAAATATGGTACTCTTTATGTCAGTGGCAGTAAACGTTTGGATTCCAACTGACAAATATAATCGCCCATGGCAGTGTGTGAGTTAATATTGGCCAGTCTGGTGGTACGGGGGCCTGCCGTATTTTGGAGGGAATACTTCAGTGGCAAAGGTTTGAGAGGCATATCTCTTGAAAATGCTCTTCAAGAACCTTGTAGTATACTTTTAATGTTAATCCCATGTAGTGCATGTTCCCAGTTGTCTGAAGCGTAGTGTCTGACGTCAATGTCAGCACAGAGGAGAGCTGATGCCGCAGATCGCTTTCGTGTGAGGAGAACAGCTCACATTACCATCAAGTAGTCGCGCGTCAAAGTGAGGTCAACGTGCTTGAGTTGGGGTGAGCACTCGTGTCGTTTCGATGAGCATGAAAGTGTCTGTCACACTGCAAGGACAGACATGCGTGTACACACATAGGTGAAATGTGTGTTTGTGTGTGTGTGTGTGTGTGTGTGTGTGTGTGTGTGTGTGTGTGTGTGTGTGTGTGTGTGTGTGTGAGATGGATGTTGCCTGCCCGTTTCTTCTTCGTTACAAAGATAACTAACTACATTGCAGTAATGCCTTGCAATTTCACTTGGTGCAAAAATGTGTTAGTCTTCTTCTATATTCAGTCATACAAAAAAAAAACCGTCTATAGAAAATCTTTTTTTTTCTTTTTCTTTGGGTGGGGGAGTATTTATAGAATGTCTCTATATGTTTATATATATATTTATATATCAAGTCAAGTACAACTTTATTGTCAAATGTGCTGTATGTGCATTTCTTCCCTCTCAAAAAGACAAGAAGAGGACC